ATCTATCTATCTATCTATCTATCTATCTATCTATCTATCTATCTATCCATCCATCTCTCTCTACCTCAGACGGTCGGATCTTGATGAAGAAGCTGCTCCGTTTGTAGGACACTTTCAGTACTTTGGGCCAGGGGAAGCGGTTGATCCTCAGCTTGTCTTTGTAAACCATCAGCCCACTGGAGCAAACGCCCAGCGTGATGTCCACGCCGTCCAGATCCTGTCGGGGACACAGAAACACGATCAGCAAATAACTACAAATAAAAATAAATAAATAAAAAAGGGGGCTTCCAGAAGTTTCTGAGTGCTGCTAAAGGGCTAATAAACCGACAACCTGCATAGATGGCCTGAGAAAATATCTGAATCACAGACTGATGTTAATTATATTTTGTCCATGAATACTTATTAAATTTTTCCAAATGGTCCGTTCGCTTCCTTTCATAGCTTTTCCCCTGGTTGTGCTGCTTCCAGACATGTATTTTCCTATTTAAGCATTTAACCAATCACATTTCAGCCATCATTTGTTGCTAGGCAGAGTCAAAGTCAAAGACGTCTGCCTGGAGGCCTTCACAAAAAAATAAATGTGGATTAAACTGTTGCTTTAACCAATCAGATTTTAGCAAACGAACCGAGATATAGTTGTGTTGGTGTAATAGCTATTCATAACCATAAAATAGTTATTGAGGGGTGAACTGATTCAGACGGAGCACTACTGAAGTCCTAGGTGGGAAATGCCCTGTCCGCCACAGATAGGAGCACATGGATTCCTCCTAAAGCTAATTCCAGTGTAGCTTAAAACAGCTTCAGGATGATATTTCTCCCTTATCAGCTACTTTCTTTGGTCTGAGATGTTAGATATCAGAAACCTTGATGATCCAAAGAGGAAATAAATCCACATGGAGTGCCTCCGTCCTTCCATCTATCTGACAGTTTGTGAGCTCCAAAAGCTAATGCTAATGTCCCTCCAACACTCTTCCATCTATCTGACAGTTTGGGGCTCTAAAAGCTAATGCTAATGTCCCTCCAACACTTTTCCATCTATCTGACAGTTTGGGGCTCCAAAAGCTAATGCTAATGCTAATGTCCCTTCAACACTCTTCCATCTATCTGACAGTTTGGGGCTCCAAAAGCTAATGCTAATGTCCCTTCTACACTCTTCCATCTGTCTGACAGTTTGGGGCTCCAAAAGCTAATGCTAATGTCCCTCCAACACTCTTCCTTTTATCTGACAGTTTGGGGCTCCAAAAGCTAATGCTAATGCTAATGTCCCTTCACCACTCTTCCATCTATCTGACAGTTTGGGGCTCCAAAAGCTAATGCTAATGTCCCTCCAACACTCTTCCATCTATCTGACAGCTTGTGAGCTCCAAAAGCTAATGCTAATGTCCCTCCAACACTCTTCCATCTATGTGACAGTTTGTGAGCTCCAAAAGCTAATGCTAATGTCCCTCCAACACTCTTCCATCTATCTGACAGTTTGTGAGCTCCAAAAGCTAATGCTATTGTCCCTCCATCTATCTGACAGTTTGGGGCTCCAAAAGCTAATGCTAATGTCCCTCCAACACTGTTCCATCTATCTGACAGTTTGGGGCTCCAAAAGCTAATGCTAATGTCCCTCCAACACTTTTCCTTCTATCTGACAGTTTGGGGCTCTAAAAGCTAATGCTAATGTCCCTCCAACACTATTCCATCTATCTGAAAGTTTGGGGCTCCAAAAGCTAATGCTAATGTCCCTCCAACACTGTTCCATCTATCTGACAGTTTGGGGCTCCAAAAGCTAATGCTAATGTCCCTTCAACACTCTTCCTTCTATCTGACAGTTTGTGAGCTCCAAAAGCTAATGCTTATGTCCCTCCAACACTCTTCCATCTATCTGACAGTTTGTGAGCTCCAAAAGCTAATGCTAATGTCCCTCCATCTATCTGACAGTTTGGGGCTCCAAAAGCTAATGCTAATGTCCCTCCATCTATCTGACAGTTTGGGGCTCCAAAAGCTAATGCTAATGTCCCTTCAACACTCTTCCATCTATCTGACAGTTTGGGGCTCCAAAAGCTAATGCTAATGTTCCTTTAACATTCTTCCATCTATCTGAAAGCTTGTGAGCTCCAAAAGCTAATTCTAATGTCCCTCCAACACTTCCTTCTATCTGACAGTTTGGGGCTCCAAAAGCTAATGCTAATGTCCTTCCATCTATCTGACAGTTTGTGAGCTCCAAAAGCTAATGCTAATGTCCCTCCAACACTCTTCCATTTATCTGACAGTTTGGGGCTCCAAAAGCTAATGCTAATGTCCCTCCATCTATCTGACAGTTTGGGGCTCCAAAAGCTAATGCTAATGTCCCTTCAACACTCTTCCATCTATCTGACAGTTTGGGGCTCCAAAAGCTAATGCTAATGTTCCTTTAACATTCTTCCATCTATCTGAAAGTTTGTGAGCTCCAAAAGCTAATTCTAATGTCCCTCCAACACTTCCTTCTATCTGACAGTTTGAGGCTCCAAAAGCTAATGCTAATGTCCTTCCATCTATCTGACAGTTTGGGGCTCCAAAAGCTAATGCTAATGTCCCTCCAACA